GTAAACCTACTATTTTAACATTTTGAAATTAGTCAAATTAGGTCAAATTATTGACTTTTGGTCAACTAACATATTCCATTAGATTCGACCGTAAGTGCGGATTTTTATTAGGTTTGGTATATTGAGGGATACAAATAAAATGCTTGAATCAAATCTATAATAAAATGAAAGGTTTGGTACCGTGATTGCAATTCTCCCAATAATTTATAATTAATTATATATATATTGATTGCTTGTTTAATTTAATAATTTCTACAGGTTTGTACATATTGACAATATTAAACATTAGAGATTATTTTTTTTTTTTAAATCAGAGAATATTGAAATGTTATCTGTCTTTTTTTTTTTTTTAATGTTTATTTTTTCCAATTTTGGTAATAAGTTATTTACAAGTCTTTTTTTATTTTTTTTAACTAAAATGGAAGTTCGTAAAAGTCAACTGAATTTGTCAATAAAAGCTTTTAAATAAAAGTCCATAAAAGTTTACGAAAATTTTCTTTGATTCTGTAAAGAGATTATGAAAGTTCATCAAACTCTACAAAAGCCATTTACGTAAAAAAGCTTCTAAATGATAAAACTATATATTCTCTTTACTTTTTCTTGTTTTCTCTTAATTTTCATAATAAGTTATTACTATCAGCATGCTTACTCGAATTTCTCTTTATATTCTGGCAATCATTACAATCTCTAGCCTTAGAAGTGGAAATTTCATAGTACTACTTTTAATTAAATAATTCCTAAATTATTTTACCTCTTTATTTTTAGTTCTCAAAATACAATTATTACTATAATCATATGCGAGCATGAGCTGGCTTACGTGTTAGGTTGAGTCCCTCACTACTCGTCTCTAGATGGTCGCTGACCACCTCTAACACTATCTAACCACCAACATATTCCGTCGTTGCCAACCATAGCCACCAGCACCAAACATCTTTAATTGAACATCCATTTTTAGATATGAAACCAAAGGTTTTGGATTTTAACGTGATTTTATTTTGGATAACTTTTCTGGTTTTGTTATGATTGTCGCCTCCTCCTCCTATGCCACCACACAATATTTGAAGTTTTAAATTTTTAAAGTTGAAAATCTCATATCTAGTTGTTTTAATAGTATGAAGATACATGACCAAATGGAGCGGTGACAATGGTGAAGGTGGTGAAGTTTTTGCTATGAAATGGTGCTGGTGATATGAGGTGGTGGGTATATGTTTTGGGGAGGTTTTCATTGTGTTGTCAAAGATAAAAAAAAATTTCCAATCAACACTCGTTGAAGAAATAATCCTTTCGTGATGAACAACTGTTGGTATCAGTCCTACATTTTGTCTTTGTGGATCAACGAGAAAAGGGGCTCTCAATGTGTACATTTGAGAAGCAAGGAGATCGGTGATAGTGAATGTGTAACAACAATTGTTATTGTTATAAAAATAATTAAGAAAATTACTATAAAATGAGGAAAACAAATTTTGAAAAATAAAATAAATTGGATACTAAGATGGGAAATAGTTTAATTTTTTAAGTAGACTATGAAACTTTCCCTAAATTGAATTACTACACGTACACAGCCTAATCCAATTCCTTTACGTGTCATGCAACCCTTTTGTACAAATTCTTAGAATTGTTAAAGATATAACAAAATTGAAATTTACGATTAGTAGGGGTTATTGCCATTAATGAGTGAACACAAGACCACTTCATGACCAAAACGATTTCCTGAATACCCATAAAGTACCTAAAGGTTGGGCCAACAAAGCAATTTTCCCCGCCCCGTCCCGTTCCCGTGGGGCCCCGCCCCGAACGGGTTGGCGGGGCAGGGTTCGCCGTCCCGTCGCAGGTCGTGGGACGGGGCGAAGATGCCCCGCCCCGAACTCGTCCCGTGAAGAATTAAAAAAAAAAAAAAATTGTTTTGGACA